CTGGATATTCTTACATCCACAAGATGTTGGTTTCAGATTGATCTAGGGGGATTGTTATATATATTTCAATTAGTATGCTATAGTATTGCCCTAACCAGCAATGATTCACCATAAGCCAACCCATTTGTTAGATGTCTGAATCACTGTTCATGGTTAGTACTTGTACTATGCAAAGAGGAACATGGAATTCTTACATCTTTATTGTACACCCAAATGTTGACATTTTACTATAGAATATGTATTCTACTTAATTGAAGTGATACCTATACTCTAAATGAATTTTTATAAAGTGATGCAGGTTATACTTAAACTTAGGGAGCACAAGGCAATATAGACAGAAATTCTTAGAGCTAGAGAGAAGCTGAACCCTAGGAGTTGGTGAAGTCTCTCAGGACCATCCCTCCAGGCAAGTACCCAGTTCAAACCATTCCTTGTCTTTGTCCTTTCCTATGCTACTCCTCATTTTTACACAGCTAACATCAGGCCAACATTGAAACCACATGCAACCCAGAAAGGAAAAAGATGTGTTCGTGGAAGGTAGGAACAGCCTAGCTTCAGCTGTTGGCCCTTCACACCCTCCACTAGATGGGCTCATTTGAACCCAAGACCCTTCCAACAGTACACTGCAAATCCATAGCTCCAATTCAGACATCTTCCCTCTGAGCTCCAGACTCAGATGTCCAGCTGTCTCTTGGATACCTGCACTTTTACATCACCACCTCCAATTCATTATGTTCAAGACTGGATTCATCATCTCTTTCCTAACCCTCTTCTGCCACCTCCTCCTGAAATTCCTAGCTTGGAGAATGCTACTCATCCAGTCTTGGTTGTCACTCAAGGACAATGGTCCTTAACCTTCACTGCATATTAGAATCACTTCTAGAGTCTTAGAAATCCTAATGTCCAAGACCAATTAAATTAGAATCTCAGGGTGGTGAGACCCAAACATCTAAATTTATTAACAACCCCTGAGTGATTCCAAAGGGTGGCCAAGCTTGAGGACTATTGCTTTACTTCTTCCTTCTCTTCCATTCATACATCCAGTCAGTCAAGACTCCTGTAGTTGGAACATTATTGTAACATTTCTCCACCTCCTCTGCCACTGCCATAATTCAGATCCTCCTCATACTGCAATCTCCTTGTACCTGATGTCTGAATTCCAGACTCTGTCTTCTGATCAAGTCCCCACACCATTGCCTGAGTGATTTTTCTAAAAGACAAACCTGGCAGAGCCACACTCATGCTTTAATTCTTTCTTCCTTAAAAAGCTCCCTCATACCTTTCAGGATACAAGTCAAACTCCAGATTGTCACGCTAAGCCCTTTCCAGTTTGCCCATTTCTCTTTTCTAACCCTTATCTTGATGTTCTCTCCAAAAGATCAAGCAGACCATTGAAGCTCTTGTAAAGAATAAGCTGGTTGCATCCTTTTTACCCTCACACCTGCTGTTGTCACCATTCATAATTGTTGATTTGCCTTTACCCTCAAAAGCCAGAAACTCTTTGTGGGCCTACAGTGGAGGCTTTTATGAATATTTATCCAATGACTGAGTCTCGTCTGCTTTTTAGCCCCAGTGTGGGGGGCTCTGACCTTCTCCTCTATCGGTAGTCCCCACTCAGCATCCAGTCTATTGCCCCAGAGGGTGGCTTTGGCTGGATGGGTCTCAGTTTGGTCAGGGTCCTGGGAGAAACAGATGGTACATTCAAATGCAACACTTGAAGAGAGTATAATGAAAAGGCTATTTACAAGGCTCTAGGCAGGCTAGGAGAAAAAAAAAAAAACAAAGAATGGTAAACATTTGCCCAAAGGGGTAAAGGGAGGAATGGTTTGTGTAACCAGTGGAATGCTGTTGCTGTGGGAAAGGACTGGCCAACAAGACTTGAGCTGCAGGTCAAGGAACTCAGCAGCTCCCAGGCCCGAGATCAGTAGGAGGGAACCTGAAGAATAAATACTCAAACATCACTCTCCTCCTGTCCTTTCCTCTCCTTCTATAGGCCTTTCATCACTGCCTCCCAATTGGCTGAAAGCAAAAGGAAGCCAAATGGCAGGAAAGCCTGACTGATGTCCCCACAGAGGCCCCAACCTCCTGGCGCACAGAGCAGAATGGAGAAGGACAAAGAATAGAGATGGAGGGGATAATGGGGAAATATCCTGCACAGTCCTTTAGGTCAGAGATGCCCTTATTTTCTAAAGATACTCTCAAAGTTTAAGTGGTTCAAAGCCCAGAGTTTGAGCTATGGGAAAATTTACTGGGTCGCCTTCTTTGACCTCATCCCATTTCATTTCTTCTTTATCTCTATTTCTAGCAAATTGACTCTTCTCTGCTCTGAGCCATCAGTGAGATTGTCTATGAGCACACTAGAAAAAACACAGACCTTTCCCACAGGAAAAGAAGCCATGTCTCTTCACGGCAGCATAGCAGAATAGCTAAGCGCATGAGTCTTGGAGCTGGACTCCCCAGTTCCAATCCTTGCACCATTCTAGACAGTGGTACTGGGAATGAGCAGGTCACGGCTGATTCTGAAGTCAAAATTTTAGCTGAAGTTTGTTCTGGTAGCAGAGCTGCAGGCTCTTTTCATGTCCGTGGTTCATAACAAAACAGTAATAATAATCAGAAGAAGGAGGAGAAGAAGAAACATCTACTATAAATGAGCAATTAATATATTATCATACATGGCATCACTACATAATTTACATATGACACAAAGGTATATCAGTTATGTTCTTTTCCAAATGCTTTCCTCTAATAAGCAAAATTCATAATCTGACTGCAATTGACAACCAAACAGTCTCTGTGATGCCCGCGTCATTTCTTAATAATACTTTCAGTATTTAATTATAATATGACATCAAGATTTGGGAACAAGTCTTCAAGTGCCTATAACTCCAGTCTAAAAAAGAATTTAAAGATGTATTTTTGAGGATTGCCATCTGTCAATTTTTTTAAAAAAGTCTGAATAGTGATTTCTTATTCCATTCTTTTTTCTTGTCAACAGATTATTCTTAGTAGTTTCCTAATTGGACACTGAGAAAAGAGACTTAAGCATTTATAGAGAAGCATGTCAGAACTCCTGAATTTTGAGCAGGTAATTTAAAAGTGTAAAATAAACGAACAAAAAAAAAAAAACAGGAAAGAAAGAGAGTGACAAATGTCTTACTATCCAGGTGTTACAAATCCTTAGTTTATCGATTTGTAATATTTACAAATGTCCATGCTCTGAGGCTTGTGTCTTTTAGTTGAAATAAACATAAACAATAGTTAAGTGATTTGCCACACTGACACAGAGATTGCTGTCTCTGATTTACTGCAAAGGGCACCACTTCCTCATTACAGGACACTAATCCCTCTTCCCCAAAGATAAGAGCAGACCTAGAATATACTCTTAGACCAAGGGACAACTTCAGCCAAAGCAAATCTTAGTGTGCCCCCCTCAGACCGTAATAGCAGCTGCCTCCACAACTCACTAGCTAAAAATTGCTAAAGGGCAACACTAAGAAATCTCAGTGTATGAGCCAGAATGCCAGAAGAAGTGCCATATTTGCTTAAAAATAGCAATACTGATCATACTTACATGCACATATCTTTAGTGATAACAGTTACCTTGTTATTTGGTTTGTTAAAGGTAATAAAGAATCCTGGCTTTCCCTTTTGCTTTTATCCACATACTTTATTTTTGCCTCTTTTGCCATGCTGTAGCATTAGATAAAGCAAATTGGGTGTCCTTCCACCTAAAACATTCTAGGGGAAAAAATGTTGAGCAGAAAAGGATTATTTAAAAAGAAGCCGGACATGGTGGCGTGCACCTGTCATCGCAGGCACTTGGAGGCTGAAGTGAGAGGATGGCTTGAGCCCAGGAGTTGGGAGACCAGCCTGGGCAACACAGTGAGACCCCCATCCCATAAGAAATAAATTTTTAAAAGGGGACCACATTTAAACTGTAGACTGAAGTGGAATGAATCAATCAGACAGGAGAGTGGAAAGCAAATATTTGAAAGAAAATAAAAAGAAAAGCAAGCCAACAAAATAAATGGACAAAGAAGGACAATGAAAATATCACTAACAGTTTATCGTAAGATACTCTTTGGATGCTAATCTAAGGTATTATGTGAAGTTTGCAGAAAATTCTTGTGCTAATGAAGGCTTTCTTCTTCTTTTGAATATTTCCAAGCTTGAAATAATTGTGTGTAGTTAACTTCTATCATCATATTGCAAACTCTAAAATAGGAATTATTTGAACTGTTCAGGTCCTGTAACTTTTCCAATAAAATATTCTATTGGAAACGAGTTCCTTCTAGATTTTCCTAAAAGAATACTAAAGGACCAAACCGTGCAACACCACTGGTGGTAGTGTCTTAATTTAGAGAGTCCATACCAGTGATTCTCAAACATTAGTATGCTCAGAGTTTCTGGTTCAATAGGTCTGGGCCGGGCCCAGGGAATTTTCATTTCTAAGAAGTTCGCAGGTGATACTGATACTGCTATTCCCAGGGACTACATTTTGAGATCCGCTGCTATGTCACAAATCCAAATACAAAGTCTTTTTAACAATCCCTTTTAGCTTCACGTCCTTATCGCCGGCCACTTTAATCTTCAACTGAGGAGGAAGGGAGAGTGAGAATTATGTATATAATTTTTTTCTTTCATTTTTAAAAAAGAAAACTCCAAGCCCACACTCTTAATTATCTGGGATGAGGTCATTTGCACCTGGGTCATTTATTTAGGCAACAAGTAGTCTTGCTAGAGGCTTTAAGGAGGTGTTAGCAGAGCGGTGTGTGGCTTACAGGTTCCTGGGTCTACCTTAAATCCCCATCCTCTTTCTTTCTTTCTTTCTTTCTTTCTTTTTTTCTCTTTTCTTTTTCCTTTCCGTTTTGAAAGCCCCAACTGCCCAGTCTCTGGGTGTCCGGGTTCCCAGGTCCGTAGGTGGGGGCGGAGCCCGACACGGCCCCGCCCCGTCTGCCCGCAGCGCCCCCTCCCCGGCCCGCCCGCGCCGGCTCCTCCGCAGTGCTTTCAGCTGTGAGCTTGGGCGGCGGCGGCGGCGGCGGCGCTCCACTTTCGGGGAGCCCGGCGGCTCTGGGAAGCTCACTCCTCCACTCGTACCCACCCTCGACCGCGGAGCCCTTGCAGCCATGAGGGAACAGCTCAAAGGGTAAGTGGATCGAGGCCCCGGCCCCGTCTCATCGCCGCAATCCGTGCACTTGTGGCGCGAGCAGGGGGCAAGCTGAGGCGGTCAAAACTTAGACAGGCGCGGCGACTGGACCCGGGGCGCCGGGCGGCTGGGCGTCTAGGAACCTCTCCCGCGGGTTCCCGCGGTGCGGCTGCAGGTGCGCCCCCGGGGTTTCTCCCCAGCCGCCGGGCTAGTGGGGGAACCTCTTCCCTCGGCTTTGGGACGGGCTGGGAGAGAAAAAGCTGATTTCTCCCCGTCCCCAGAGGGGATAACGCGTTCCTCACGCGGGGATTGGGGCCGGGGGAGCTTTTCGCTCCTTTCCAGGCTGCCAGTGTGGACGTGAGCAAGGCTGGCTGTTCCTAAATCGTCGCTCTTACTCGCCGAAGGAAGGGGCGCACGCGGCGCTACCTTCCATTGCACTGCAAGTGCCAAAAGGTCAACTTTCTGCCTGATTTCTTCCGAGGATTCCAACTGACATTTCCCTCGCTGCATTTTCTACCGTGCTCATTCCGTGCCCCAAGACCTGCAGAAATCAGGAAAGAAAGAACAAACAACTAAAGCCCAGAAGTCAAGGATTTCAGGGGGGATTTTTGTTTGGGCTTTTTTCCCCGCCCCCCCTCCTTTGGGATTGGGTGTGGAGTCATTTCTAGGGTGTTCTCTCGCATTTCTCCAGGTGTCTGTGCTCATCTTCAAGCAAAGTTTGTCACTCCCAATCCGTGCACGGCAATAAAACGGGCAGAACACTTTGCTGGGTCAAATTTGAAGTTAAGTTTGAAGCTTTAAATTTAAGGGGTTTAGTTGCTTGAGGGAGGCATAATATTATAAACTGTTTTTACATCATGAAAAAAATCCATCCGATTTAAGTGGTGAACTTTTAAGTGGCGTCTTTAAGTGAAATCTACATTTTTCCTTGGGCAATAAACTCTTTGGTCCTCTGCTTTATCCCTGTCACCTCTCCTTGTCACCCCCCACCCCCAATCAACCTTTCTTTTTTTGCCTAGATTTTTTATTGCCTTTTACCCAAGCCCCTCTTTGGAGGAGACGTTTGCTGTTGGAGAAGCGAGAGGAGCGAATGAAGCAACACGGTTGTATGAAACTCCTCTGACCCTTGAACACCGTGGAATTGGTTTCAGTCATCATTGTTTGATCTCCGATTGGACACGACCCTGAAAAGAAATTGCCTTGGCCAAAGTTGAGGGTGGGTGGGAGTTAAACCTTGAAAAGCAAATAGAACGGAAGACAAGTAACAGCTGGAACAGCCACCGAGGCAATCATCTTTGCCCTGGCTTTAGCCAAACAGTATAAAATGGTAAATATCCCAGGGAACAATAAATTGGAACTAGAATGGATTTCTGATGCTTATATTGATGCTCACCCCTCCAAACCCCTGCCCCACGGTAGCAGAAACTTTGAAATATATTTTACCATCCACACCCTGCCAGTATTCCAGCAATGCAAGCCAAGTTCAACAATTCAGCATGCAAATACCAAGGTTCCTCTAGAAAAAAGAGTCTGATCCTCAGATTAAAGGGAAATCATTTGTGTGTGTGGATCAGTGGGCTCCAGATTATATATGAAGCCAAACTCTAATCCTCTGCAAATCGCAAGAGAACGCTACCTTTTTATATTGCTGCATAGTGATTAGTTTTCTCCCTGGGAAGTAGTGGACAGATAGTTTTTTAAAAGGACAACTGTTCGGAATATTTTCAGTACCAAATAACAATGGTGGCAGCAGAAATCTTATTTTAATTAGGCAACTGCCATTTTCCCAGCCACAGCAGTAGATATTTGTTACTTTTTGTAAGTGTTTAATGTTTGTTTTTAAGAAACTAAAAAAGCAATTCCAATAAGTCTGATTATTCCAGCACTGACAGCAGGAACAGCTCTGAGGCAGTTATAATAACCTTGCACACTACTTGAAACTAAAGAAGGTGAGAGAAAATTTAAATTGTACGGTAGGAAATTAGGTCAGCCTTGTGCTCAGTAGAGTAATGCTTTAATTTCTTATTATTGACAAGTCGATGTTGCCGGGGTCTTTTGTCATAGTCGATGATTTTATATTTTAATTTGCATCAGGGTCCTATCACAGCCTCAAATAAAAGGGAAAAGGAGAGATTATCATGGTTTGTACAAAGAAGAAGAGGGGAAATCTTCATGTAAATACCGCTCAGAGAGGCATATCTGATGCCAGGCTTTGGAACCAGCAGGGCCAAAATCAATAACATTTTTTAAAGATGTAAAGAGTGTTCTAAGGATTATTTATGAAGCTGATCTCTGTGTTAATGTCCATACAGACTTGTGATCTATGTTGAACATTATTGTTCTCAGAAAGGCCAAACAAAGATGTACCCGTTAACATGTGAACAGGTTTCAGGATTTCCTTTTTGGTTGTTCATGGTATATGGGGGAGAGCATTTCCGATTGGAGAGTGAAATGCAGAAAAGAGACAATTACCAAAAACAGTGCCACCCACCCTTCCACTCCCTCCTCCCTAGCACACCATGTTTTTCTGGATTGTCTGCATATTCCAGGTAAATGTGGACTCTTCTCGTGGAGTTATTGAGAATTCTCTACTGTTTTTGAAGGCAGACACAGAGTAAGAAATGAAGCTGGAAAATCGGTATTGATCACAGACAAAAAAAATTGGTTTGTCCTTCAAGGTACAAGATAGATACGAGTTATGCAGATTTGTGCTATTTCATCCAGTCCATAGTCATAGTTCCTATCTATTTTGAAGGGTTAAATGTGTCCGAGGAGGGCTCTGGATTCATCACAGGTAGAAAATACTCACACGCTGTGAAGTGAATATTTGGTTCATCATATAGTTACCAAAAAATCTGAAGTTTTTTTGGCTATGTTGCCAAGCATTTTTAGCCTTAAATGATTAAAAGACTATTTTTCTCATGTTAAGGATTAGTCACACCCTTTATTTCTTCTTTCCACGTGTGCTCACTTCTTTTGCTTAGAACTGGTTTGCAATTGAAGTGAAACTAAGACTGTAAAGGTGAAATCTAAATCTGTTTTTCTAGTTCTTTTGCATTGCTTAAAAATAAAAGGTTTGTGTGTTGAAGGTGAAAAAGGTTAGCTTCTGGAATTGTTTCAGGAGTTCATTTATCTTTGTTATTCAAGTCCCACAGAATCACAGATAATTGGGAGAATAGTACGTATCAAGGACTAGTATCGTAACTCACAAATGGGCAATGGAATTGGGAGCTTAGAATTTCTTCCTTCTTCCAGTAAAGGAGATTTTCAGTTTTGCCGAGGACTGATGCATTAAAAAAATAATTTCTAAAGCCCTTTTCATAATTTTAACCTTCAAAATAAAGTCTTTAAAAAGGTAGGAATGTACGTATGCCAACAGTCACGAGATTTCTTTCGGAGCTGGGGAGCTACATGAAGCCCTCATTCATTCTATGTGGGATTCTCTTGTAAATTGTATGCACTGTTTCCCTTCCCTTTTAGAATTGTGTTTGGTACAAGTTTATTTCTTGACTATTCCTCTAATTTGAAGTCCATTCCAGATGGTGGCTTTTCATGGTGGTTCCCTGTCTCTGTCTGATCAGGCTTATCAGCTCAGCTAAATGTTTTTCTGCAGACCTATAGGAGATGCTACGGTCCTTACAAATATCCTGGAGATGGGACATTGTTGTTACACAGTGTGACTAGTAAGGGCCTGTGTGAGCCCTTGTACATGTGGGCACATGTGTGTGCTTCCTCTCTTCTCTCTTCCTTTCTCCCTGGTACTTATATCATGTCTGGATGACCTTTGGAAATAGAGGCGGCCTGAATGCAGGGTGGTCTCAATAGAAGGTAACCTTTCCTTGCTCTGCACTTACGTACGGAATTAGTATACACTCAGTTTCCGAGCTGAGAAATGCCTGAGAACAAGCAACACTTTTTCCATGAAGCTGCAAGCTGCAGCCTCCTTGTGCTGTGCATGTAAAGTACCAGTCCCGCCTACCCCTTCTCCAGATCATAAACTGGTTTGGACATGGGGTTTCCTAAAACCCCTTAAAGCATAGAGACCACATCTCTTGCTCTTCTTGCTCTTTAAGACTTGAATGTCACTCTGTTACATTCCCTCAACTGATAAGCCCTTGTTATAGTCCTCAAATGTGAATTGTCTCTGTGGAAAAGTCAAACAGAAACAAACGTATTTGGAAGACAGTGAAACAGCACTTCACAAGTGAACGTTTTCTTGCAAATTGTTTTCAGTAGCCCTCACTGTTCAATCAGTGACTGGTAAATATCACAGGGATGGTCTTTGAAGTTGTACAATTTGGGTGATTTCCATATGTCTTTAGGAGGTTTATGATTGTATTCCATTTCTCAAACCAATTTAAATGGTTCTTTTCTTGTTTTAAAACATAGGCGAGAACATGTAGTGTGTTGGTTTTGCTGTCTAGGAAGGGTCTGTCTTCAGCTTGATTGACTTAACTACAGTTGGATCCACATCTATATTGTAATCAGCTAATAACAGATTTGCTTTTAATAGATGACAATTTGAGGGGCACATGGTACCAAAAGCGACCACATATTGAGCACCAAACGGTGCCAGTCACTTACCTATATCAACTAATCCTTTAATCCTCTAGGAGGCCGCAGAGCCCTAAAATTCAAAACATACGCTAAGGCCATTTGACATTGTTGCCTGTCCAGACTCCTCTTTCTGTGTGAGACCTCGGTACTTTCTGGTTCTCTTGAAATGCTCCAATTTAAGCGATTTCTTTTTCCTTCCCTCCCCTTCCCCCCAAAAGTTTATGAATAGGCTCTGCATATGAGTACCCAAATATCATTCAAAACTGCATTTGACTGTATCAAAGCCTGCCATGCAATCCCTGACAACTGGAAATACGATGCTGTGGTGATTTACGTAGATGGGCCAAAGTAAGGAAAAGTATATGTAGTTATTTCTCCAGGGTTTATTCATGTAATTGAATGAGGAACAAAGGTGTTTTGTGCTTTTTGTGGCAGGAGCTGATAGCCAGCAACCACACGTCAAGAAATGGAAGAGAGCTGTGAATGCTTCATTCAGGCCCAAGTAAATATAGGAAGAGGTGTAGTGGTGTATAGCGTACTGAGTTTAAAGAAAAAACACTCCGAAAGTAATGGGAAGAAGGAAGTTATGATATATTAGTCAGGCACTGGATATACCTTAAGCTGAAATGAAATACAGGTATCATGGATATGAGATATGGATATGTAGAAGAAAGAGTAATGGGAAAAATGTCAGGGGCAGTGAAAGCAAATGAGAAGTGAGATGATTTATATTTATTGAACTAATGTTCGGTATCTCTTTGACCGAGTTGAGTAATAATCAGTTGTCAGTGTCCTTTATGTAGTGTTCCACGTTGGATGGGTGAAGAAATCCTGATAGTCAATTATTGATCACATAACAAGGTCAATTTATCATGACTGAAGCTCAATCGATTTGTGGGTGCAATGAAGAAACATTCTGGAACCGAATAATGTTTATATTGCTTTTCCCTTTGGAAGCAAAGCAGAAAGGGGCCTTTCTGCTTGTAAGATAAACATTTCTTCAATACACTACGGAAGTGCTTTGAAATAAAGATTCCGAATGGTTCAAAAGCAAATCTTGTTGTTGTTGTTGTGTTTTTCCTCTTTTCTCAACTACCCATTGTAAATTCTAAAGTCTTTCTTTATGTTTTGTGTTTTAGCCACGAGACTCAAACAACTTGCTGGGACCATCCCAAAATGACAGAGCTCTACCAGTCTTTAGGTAAGGACATGGCCATGTTTCCTCCAAGTTAAATGACAGGTGACTTTTAGGATAAAGTAGTTTGTAGTGTGAAAGTTACTTGCTATATAAATACATCACTAGATTGTTTCACGGGTGAAAGCAGTGGCACCTTCCTATCCAAAATGGACAATCAGCTTTCTTTTTTTTCTGGGGTTCCTTAAAAACAAGTTTTAGAAGTTGACTGCTAAAAATTCAATATACCTGAGAGGCCCTAAGGGTCTTTGTCGTTTTCTTTGGTGCCTAAAAGGATGGAAAAACAGTTGCAATTTACGACTGTATTTTTTTTTATTCCCACGAAGATAGAAAACTGTTTCAGGTGCTTATTGATTTCTTCCGTGTGAAACCAAGACAACCCTTTTGCCAAACCACAGATGTTGTGTAAAGGAATTTTCTGCCGTCTTTCCAGTGCTCACAATTCCTAAGGCCTGGCGGGTCATTAATGTGGACATTTAAATGATTTCTTTAGTATGGCTTGTTTTGTGCTTATGTAAGAGCCTGGCAGTTGTGTTTTCTTCCCCCTCATAACTTGAAATTTTTTGAATAGGTACATAGCGTACAAATAAGGGTTTGAAAACACAGTCTTTTTACACTGGACCAATGTCCAGATGTCTAGTTTGTCATTTTAGATCTACAAGGAATATTCTGAAATGAATTATCTTAAGTTGCAGCTTGTTTGGGGTTTTGTTTTGTTTTGGGACGGGGTCTTGCTCTGTCTCCCAGGCTGGAGTGCGGTGGTGCAGTTATAGCTTATTGCAGCCTCGAACCCCTGGGCTCATGTGGTTCTTCTGCCTCAGCCTCCCGAGTAGCTGGGACTACAGGAATGCACCACCACACCCAGCTCATTTTTTAAATTTATTTTTATTTATTTTTGTAGAGATGGGTCTCACTATGTTGCCCAGGTTGTGTTTATATATATATATTTGTATATATAAAAAGTCATGTCTTTTCTACTTTTTCAAGCCTGCATTTCTGTGAATGGATATGTTGATAGACAAACACATAAGGCGATCTCTTTGGATTTAAGGTTACGTGATAAACACTGTGGGAATCAGGGTACTTAAACATAAATTCTGTGTAGGTATATGTAAGTGGGGTGTGTGTGTCAGCGGGTATGTAGCTATTACTGCTTTTGTGTCATGGATTCTCACGGAATGAATTGTAGCTATAGAGACACCAAGGATTAGAGAAGAGATATTAGCCAAAAAATGGCTTTATTAAACATTTTTCTAATTATAAATGATTAAATTTCTTCTAGAAAACCTGAAAAATGTAAATAAAAAACATGAAAAAGGAAAAACAAAGTCACTTATACTAACCAGAGAGAGAGAGATCCAATACATTTCGAGTAACATTATGTCATTTCAGTCTAGTTATAAGTGTGTAAACGTTTAAAATTTTAAATCAAATTGGGATCAGCTAGTTTTCTAGTGCTACATTTCCAGCCCCCACAGAATGTTTTTGGCTTATAATTGTGGACTGTTTATACCACAGGTGGAAAACGTGAATGCTTATCTTTTGGCAAATGAGAGAATGAAAAGGCTTCATCCTAAGTGGGCAGCAGCTGTCCTGGGCAAGCTGGTCTTTCTATCCCAGTACTCCCAGGACCCCAGGACCCCTGATTGTATAAGAGAAACTAGAAATGCGTCCACAAAAAGCTAATTTAAATTTGTCTGTGGGCCTCTTGATCATAACCTGTGGTTTACACAGATGTAGCCCACTTCTAACATTTCCTACTCTAATTACAGTAATTTCTAGTTGTAATATTTTAATTCACTCTTATTTTAAAATCATTATTATTATAGAATTAATACCTATTCATATTTTTTTAAGTTTAAAAATATAGACAGGCTAACAAAAAAGAAGAGACAAATCATAACCCCACTTCTTAGAGTTAGCTGCTGTTTAATAATCTAGTAGATATCTTCAAAAATGTCTTTCTATACATATATTTTTATAGAAGTTGAATCATTCTGTCTTATAGTTTTTTTTTTTTTCACTGAAAAGTAATATATTACCATGGCCATATTTACATTTTGTTGTATAGCATTCTCTACCACTTTCAATTACTCTGTAATGAGAAATTGCAAACATGTTGATGAAAAGCTAACTATGGACTATCAATGAATACATGTTTGCACCTTTAATAAAAATTAAATATACATTTAATCATTATATTGCTAACATTTTCTCCGTAGTTTAGATGTGGTGATAAACTCAAAACTAGTAATCTCTCATGACTTGTGACATTGGGCTTGTGACATCACTCAATTTTGAATGATAACAGAATTTTACAGTTGCAGGGGATTTTAGAATTCATTTATTGCAAACTTTCTTTTATGAAATCAACTTTCAGGTATAATTTGTATATAATAAAAGGAAGTCATCGTAAGTGTGTTATCAATTCCAGCCCCCTTTGAAATTCTGTTTCTTGCTAGCCCAATAACAAACCATTTGCAAGTGAACTAAGTGTTGAAATTTGCTTTTCACCGTTCAGAGTTAATATTTCCATTAGTTTTGTAACAATCAAACATTCGTTGGGCTTTTATCCAAATGGTGAGTCATCAAATAACATCTCGCATTTATCGCGGGCCTATTGTTTGTTTTCTACATGGGACATGCCAGCAACCAACCTGCATGGTAGATGGTATCAACATCCACATTTCACAGGACAGCGAAGCCAGGCTCAGGGAGGAGTTGATCAGGGCTACACAGCTATGTGGGGCTTCACCTGGGTTTGTCCTTGGTGTTCTGTTAGTACTTTCACTGTTCTCATTGATTTTATTTACTAGGTAAAGTATATTCATGTTGGTTACTACATACCTGCTACATGTATATAGGGATTGATAGTTTTACCTATGAATAGTAAGTTACTTGAATGGTATTTCAGGAAGTGGTATGGTGGGTTCCTAAACAATGGGCACTCCTTTCACTGTTGCCTGGCACATACAGAATGATTGATTTAGTTTGTTATATGGCTACATCCTTTTTTTTTTTTTGAGACAGAATCTCACTCTGTCACCCAGGCTGGAATGCAGTGGCACGACCTTGGCTCACGGCAACCCCCATGTCCCCAGGATCAAGTGATTCTCCTGCTTCAGCCTCCCGAGTAGCTGGGATTACTAGGTGCCTGCCACCATGGCCAACTAATTTTTGTATTTTTACTAGGGACGGGGTTTTGCCATGTTGGCCAGGCTGCTCTCGATGACCTGACCTCAGGTGATCCGCCCACCTTGGCCTCCCAAATTGTTAGGATTACAGGTGTAAGCCACGGCACCCAGCCTGCCTGTATCCTTGAGATCCCATATAAGATTAACTACCAGTACTGCCTTTCCTCCTTTCCAGAATTATAGTGTTTCAAAGTCGAAACACAAGCATAAAATACTGAAAAGAAACTTTTTATTGCTTTTTAGTTTTTACTTATTAGCTTATATTTTTCTTCATCAAGAGGGTATCCCTCTAGGTCCAAATTGCTCTTTGAGCTGGATGAAATGGTTGGAAGCCTTCAACTACAGTCAGTTCATGAAAGGTATCTTGAAAGCAGAAATGGTGTTGTGGTCTGGCGTGTCAATGTTTAAGACCACATCTAGCCCCCTCTGCTAATCGAACCTGAACCTCATGTCTCTGGTGAGGTGCTGAAAATATCAAGATGTTGCTTTTTCCCTCTGTTCCCCCACTCCAGACATACTCTACTGTGGAAGCTACAGTGGTTCACATTATGCATAGTAGGTTACACATTCCTAAAGACGCCCACTTCTAAGGAGATTTCCATTCTCTAATTTGCCAGCGTTCCCAAGCAGCCTGTTCAACACATGTTTATGTTACCTGCCTGGCCCTCAAAAGCATTCAGGTGTTCCCCTGCACCCAGGGTTTGAACACAATAGGATTAGAAGCTGAAAACATTTTGTTAGAACTGAAAAAGTAGCAAGTATTTACTGATGAAAAGGTATAATATTGCTTGAGATATTACCATTGGAGCTCTCTAATACATTCTAGGTGGTTTTCTTTTTCATTCCTTTTCCACTGATTTTCTAAAATGAATTTATATTATTTACAGTTAGATGTTTGGTAAAAAAGTTTCTTCGTCAATACCCCCTATTCCATTTCTTACTTAGTGTCTCTATAGCTACAGTTCATTAAGCAATGAGAACTTATGACAGAAAAGCAACAGTAGCCACACACACACACACACCCCCCCCCCCACATATATGTAGATAATTTATGCTTACGGACCCTGATTCTCATGGACTTTGTCAGGTAACCTTAAACTCAAGGAGATCATCTCATGTATTTTTAGTCTGTATGTCCAGTCGTGAAAAATGCAGATGTAGACATTTTAGTGGTAGAGAACATAGAACTTTTTTGATTAAAAAATAAATAAAAAGTAAGATAATTTGAGATTATTTCCAACAGATCTAAAGTGGCTTTTCAGAGGAGGTTTCAGTCAAGTCTTAGAAATATTGTGTTCCCCTCATTTTTAGGCTGTGTACCTACACAAAAAATTGAGAGAAAATATTGCCAGAGTCCTACACAAAGCAAGACATAACAAAGAAATAATTTAAAGGTTCACTATGATGACAGAACAGTCATTAGGAATTTGAGTCTCCATAAAATTTTTTACATCACATTAATGGTTTGACAAAAGCATTGTCTTGGATTTTCACAGGGAATAAATCACTAAAAGCAACGGAAATCAGTTTTCTTTCAGCATTTTTCTGTGACTACCCCCAGTAGTCATAGAATGGTAGTAGAGAATGCTAGTCGAGTGAGTGGGATATAAAAGACCAAGTGTCCCGTGTCTATTTTTTGTAGGCCTTGGTGCTTTATCTTTAAAATGTGAGGATATTGGGGCTGGGCACAGTGGCTCACTCTTGTAATCCCAGCATTTTGGGAGGTCGAGGCGGGCGGATCACCTGAGGTCGGAAGATCAAGACCATCCTGGCTAACGCAGTGAAACCACATCTTTACTAAAAATACAAAAA